TGTGTGCTGCTGCGCCCCTGGCAGTGCTGAGGTGTGTGCGTGTGTGTGTGACACCGCACTCCTTCTGTGGCTGAGGTGTGTGTGTGTGTGTGTGTGTGTGTGTGTGTGTGTGTGTGTTCCCGGGTTACTGCTCTGAGCTGGGATTGTTAACAAGGAACCGCTAGGTATTGAACCCGGCCTTATTGGTCTGGGGCACAGCGGGGGCGGGGCTCACGGGCAGGCGTGTCCCAGACTCAGACACTGGGGAATGGCTCACACAGCTGCCCTGGCACCTGGGCATTTCCCCTCCAGCCCAGGAGCCCAGTTTGCCTCGGCCCAGGGACCCTGCTCTCCATGGAGCCGACGCAGCAGCCGCCTTCCGGCTTCATGACGATCCAGGTGTGCAGACGCCCTTGGTGTGACGCCGCATGGAGTGTGTGGGGTCGCTGAGACACACGCAGGGGCCCGTCACCCAGCAGCCCCCAGCCGGGGTCCCCTCAAGTAGCTGGGCTGGTTTCAGTCCGTGGCAATGAAAGGGATTGTCAATATCAGGGGAAAACTCCTGCAGTCCCTCCTCAGGCAGGTCTCCCACTGCAGCTGCCAGGCCTTTCCCATGCTCAGCACCTCAGGATTTCACAGCTGCACCCGCCCCTCGCCCAGCAGAGGACCCCCTGCCTCTGCACTGAGTGTCCCTCTGGCTTGGGGCTCATTGACCTTAACCAGCCCCAGGGGAGCCAGTGGGGGGGCCCTGGACAGAATCAGGCCAGAGACACAACATGAACGGCGCCGGCAAAGGTCTGTCATGTTTGCACTTGGATCCCAGTCCCCAGAATGCTCAGCCTGCCCATTTATGCACCTAATCTGCATGGAAATGGGCGCGCCCCTTCTGTCTGTCCAGGCGTTTGCCACCCTTCAGCAGCGTGAGGGGTCTCACTGCCTGGCTCTGACATTTCAGTATCGCCTGCGGCTACGTGGGGTCAGCGTGTTACCTTATCACAGCGTCAGGGTCTGGAGAAAATAACGACAAAGCGATTGTACGAAAACATCCCAGAGCCAGATGCACATTTATGGTCAGTTCCCGGGTCGGAGAGTGTTCAGTGCCCTGACTGATGTTTCTAGATTTTCGTGGAAAACTGCACGTGCTTTTCCCTGCCATTCATGGAGGGTAGGTCAGGGTGGGTCCATCAGTGGCTATGAGCCAAGATGGGCAGGGATCGTGTCCCTAGCCTCTGTGTGTCTGGGAATGGGTGATGGGAGGGATCACGTGAGGATTCCCTGTTGTGTTCCCTCCCTCTGGGGCACCTGGCATTGGCCACGGTGGGCAGACGGGACCCAGGGCTGGACAGACCTGTGGTCTGACCCCGTCTGGCCGCTCTTACGCTCTTACGCAATCTTTCTGAGAATCGGGCCCAGCTGCTCTTACCGGTGCCAGTGGTGTAACGCTGCAGAATGGGCTTTCCATGGAGTTCTGACGCGCCAGCTGCTCCCGCGGGTTAATGACGAGGATTCTGACCCCATCTCCCCGCCAGCCTGCAGCCTGTGCCCGTCACTTTGGAACGGGAAGGCTGAGATGCTTTCCCCATTTCCCTTCTTTCTTCCTGACCTGCCTGTCTTCCTTCTGCAATGGCAGAGATCTGCAAGCTCCCCAAGGAACCCGGCCCATGTCTGGCCTACATGCCCAGATACTTCTATGACCGCGTCACCAAGAGCTGTCAGATGTTCATTTATGGCGGATGCCAGGGCAATGGGAACCGCTTTGCCACTAAAGAGGAATGTCTCCGGACGTGTGGACGGTCTGGTAAGAGACTGGGGGAAACCCAGTTAGTTGGGTTGTCAGTGGCCCCAGCAACAGGGATGCTCATGCAAATAATGATTGTTTGGCTGCAGCTCAGCAGTGCCTAGAGCACTGGTCCTCACAGTGTTGTCTGTGGATCACTAGTGGTCCATGAGCATCTTACAGGTGGGCCAGAGGCTCAGGGCTCACCCCCCTTTGTCCCCGCGGCCGGGAGCCTAGGCTGGCACTCCAGTTCTGCCCCTCCCCACGAGGTTGACGCACCAGCACTGACTTCCCACTGTGGGGTGGGGGTTGCACCTCCCAGGCTGGATCCGGCTTGTGTGGGTAGGAAGTGGCTCTGTGTGCTGCTGCTCCCCCCCCTCTGGCTAGGGGAACGGGAGTGAGGAAACCACTCACCTGGAGGCTTTCCCTGCTGCTCCCGTTGGCTGGAATCACGGGCAATGGGAGCAGCAGGGTGTGGTGCCTGGGAGCGGCAGGAGGCACTGAGCCACGTAAGCACCCTCTATCCCTCTCATGCCCAGACCCCCACCTCCAGCCCTCTTCTGCAGAATCCCCCCCTTTCCCCTCACTTGTTTCTCTTTGTTCTGCAGCTGGAGACGTCTGCCAGCTCCCTGCAAACCCTGGCCCTTGTGAGGCCTACATGCCCCACTACTTCTACAACCCAGCCTCCAAGAGCTGTGAGAGGTTCATTTATGGTGGCTGCGGGGGCAATGGGAACAGGTTTGCCACTGAAGAGGAATGTCTCCGGGCGTGTGGACAGACTGGTAAGAGACTGAGGGAGACTCAGCGAGTCTCGTCCCCATCTGCCCCGGTAATAGAGACCTTTCTGCAAAGATTTGGGGCCACAGAGCCCTAGAACATCCACCACAGCCCATGGCCCCATTGCCCACGCACTGCACAGACACAGAGTAAGGCTTTGTCTACTCTTTCAACATTGAAGCTTTAACACAACAGTGTTGTTGTGATGTCGGCGCTGGACGAGCTCTCTGGGCACTCTGGGGAACCCATCTCCACAAGGGGCGTAGCGCCCAGTGCTGGAAGTTCCTGCACAAAAATGTCCTGTGTTCAGGGGCTTGTTTTTCACACCTCCGAGTGAGAAAGTTTCAGTGCAGTATATTTCCAGAGTAGACAAAAATGAGGAGATTAGTTAAACAGAAATTAAAAAGTACAGTGACAAAAATAAAATCTCCGCAAGCTGCATGGAAGCTTTTCAAAGACACCATAATAGAGGGCCAACTTAAATGGATAAACCAAATTAAAAAACACAGGAAGAGAACAAAAAAGTGACACTATGGCTTAACAACCAGGTAAAAGAAGCAGTGACAGATAAAAAGACATCTGTTAAAAAGTGGAAGTCAAATCCTAGAGAGGAAAATAGAAAGGAGTATAAACTTTGTCAAATTAAGTGTAAAACTATAATAAGAAAAGCCAAAAGGAGTTTGAAAACAGCTAGCCAAACACTCAAAAGTAATAGCAAACTGTTTTTAAGTACATCAGAAGCAGGAGGTCTGGTAAACAACCAGTGGGGGCCCTGGACGATCGAGATGCTAATAGAGCATTCAAAGACAATAAAGTTATAGCAGAGAACCTGAATGAATTCTTTGCTTCAGTCTTCACAGCTGAGGATATTGGGGAGAGTCCCAAACCTGACCCATTCTTCTTAAGTGACAAATCTGAGGCATTGTCCCAGACTAAGGTTTTGAAACAAATTGATAAACTTAACAGTAACCACTCACCGGGCCCAGATGGCATTCACCCAAGAGTTCTGAAAGAATTCAAATGTGAAATTGCAGAACTATTAACTGTGGTTTGTAACCTATCCTTTAAATCATCTTCCATACCTAATGACTGGGAGATAGCTAATGTGACACCTATATTTTAAAAGGGTTCTAGAGGTGATCCTGGCAATTACAGACCAGTAATTCTAATGTCAGCACCGGGCAAATTAGTTGAAACTATAGTAAAAGAAGGGAATTGTCAGACGCATCGATTAACATAATTTGTTGGGGGAAAGTCAACATGGTTTCTGTAAAGGGAAATCATGCCTTACTAATCTACTAGAGTTCTTTGAGGGGGTCAATGAACATGTTGACTAGAAGGATCCAGTGGACATAGTATACTTAGATTTCCAGAACGTCTCTGACAAGGTCCCTCACCAAAGGCTCTTAAGTAAAGTAGGTTGTCATGAGATAAGAGGGGAGGTCCTTTTGTAGATTAATAACTGGTTAAAAGACAGGAAACAAAGGGTAGGAATAAATGGTAAGTTTTCCAAGTGGAGAGAAGTAATTAGCGGGATTCTCCCAGGATCTGTCTTGGGACCCATCCTGTTGAACTTAGTTATAAATGATCTAGAAAAAGGGGTAAACAGGGAGCTGGCAAAATTTGCAGATGATACTAAACTGCTCCAGGTAGTTAAGACCAAAGCAGACTGTGAAGAGCTTCAAAAACATCTCACCAAACTAAGTGATAAGGCAACAAAATGGCAAATGAAATGTAATGTTGGTAAATGTAAAGTAAGGTACATTGGAAAAAAAATCCCACCTATACATACAACATGATGAGGACTAATTTAGCTGTAGCCACTCAAGACAGAGATCTTGGAGTCATTGTGGATAGTTCTCTGAAAACATCCACTCAGTGTGCAGTGGCCGACAAAAAAACAAGCTGAATGTTAGGAATCGTTAAAAAGGGGACAGAAAATAAGATAGAAAATAAGAACATCTTATTGCCTCTGTATAAAACCATGGGCCGCCCACATCTTGAACACTGCGTACAGACGTGGTCGCCTCATCTCAAAAAAGATATTTTGGCTTTGGAAAAGGTTCCGAAAAGGGCAACACAAATGATGAGGGTTTTGCAACGGGTCCCATATGAAGAGAGATTCAAAAGACTTGGACTTTTCATCTTAGAAAAGAAGAGACTAAGAAGGGATATGATAGAGGTCTATACATTCATGGCAGCTATGGAGGAAGGGAATAAGGAAAAATTATTTACTTGATCCCATAACATAAGAACTAGGGATCACCAAATGAAATGAACAGGTAACAGGATTAAAACAAAAAAAAGGAAGTTTCTCTTCTCACAGTGCACGGTTGGCCTGTGGAACCCCTTGCTGGAGGAAGTTGTGAAGACTAGGATTTTAACAGGGTTTAAGAAAGAACTAGATAGATTCATAGAGGGTAGGTCCATCAATGGCTATTAGCCAGGATGGGCAGGAATGGTGTGCCTGGCTCTGTTTGTCAGAGGGTGGAGATGGATGAAAAGATGAGGAAGAACGGCTCTTGCGCAAGTGGGGTCTCCACAGTTCCTTTTCTGGAGGAAGTTGTGAAGACTAGGATTTTAACAGGGTTTAAGAAAGAACTAGATAGATTCATAGAGGGTAGGTCCATCAATGGCTATTAGCCAGGATGGGCAGGAATGGTGTGCCTGGCTCTGTTTGTCAGAGGGTGGAGATGGATGAAAAGATGAGGAAGAACGGCTCTTGCGCAAGTGGGGTCTCCACAGTTCCTTTTTGTGCAAAAATTCCAGACTCAGACACTGGGGAATGGCTCACACAGCTGCCATGCACCTGGGCATTTCCCCTCCAGCCCAGGAGCCCAGTTTGCCTCGGCCCAGGGACCCTGATCTCCATGGAGCCGACGCAGCAGCCGCCCTCTGGCTGTATGACGAGCCAGGTGTGCAGACGCCCTTGCCGTGACACCGCGTGGAGTGTGTGGGGTCGCTGAGACACACGCAGGGGCCCGTCACCCTGCGGCCCCCCAGCTGGGATCCCCTCAAGTCGCTGGGCTGATTTCAGTCCACGGCAATGAAAGGGATTGTCAATATCGGAGGAAAACTCCAGCAGTCCCTCCTCAGGCAGGTCTCCCACTGCAGCTGCCAGGCCTTTCCCTGGCTCAGCACCTCAGGATTTCACAGCTGCACCCGCCCCTCGCCCAGCAGGGGACCCCCTGCCTCTGCACTGAGTGTCCCTCTGGCTTGGGGTTCATTGACTTTAATCATCCCCAGGGGAGCCAGTGGGAGTGCCCTGGACAGAATCAGGCCAGAGACACAACATGAACGGCGCCAGCAAAGGTCAGTCATGTTTGCACTTGGATCCCAGTTCCCAGAATGCTCAGCCTGCCCCTTTATGCACCTAACCCCACGAGGTTGATGCACCAGCACTGACTTCCCACTGTGGGGTGGGGGTTGCACCTCACGGGCTGAATCCGGGTCGTGGGTGTAGAAAGTAGCTCTATGTGCTGCTGCTCCCCTCCTCCTCGCTAGGGGTACAGGAGAGAGGAAACCACTCACCTGGAGGCTTTCCCTGCTGCTCCCATTGGCTGGAATCACGGGCAATGGGAGTAGCAGGGTGTGGTGCCTGGGAGCGGCAGGAGGCACTGAGCCAGGTAAGCACTCTCTATCCCTCTCATGCCCAGACCCCCACCTCCAGCCCTCTTCTGCAGAATCCCCCCCTTTCCCCTCACTTGTTTCTCTTTGTTCTGCAGCTGGAGACGTCTGCCAGCTCCCTGCAAAGCCTGGCCCTTGTGAGGCCTACATGCCCCACTACTTCTACAACCCAGCCTCCAAGAGCTGTGAGAGGTTCATTTATGGTGGCTGCGGGGGCAATGGGAACAGGTTTGCCACTGAAGAGGAATGTCTCCGGGCGTGTGGACAGACTGGTAAGAGACTGAGGGAGACTCAGCGAGTTGCGTCCCCATCTGCCCCGGTAATAGAGACCTTTCTGCAAAGATTTGGGGCCACAGAGCCCTAGAACATCCACCACAGCCCATGGCCCCATTGCCCACGCACTGCACAGACACAGAGTAAGGCTTTGTCTACTCTTTCAACATTGAAGCTTTAACACAACAGTGTTGTTGTGATGTCAGCGCTGGACGAGCTCTCTGGGCACTCTGGAGAACCCATCTCCACAAGGGGCGTAGCGCCCAGTGCTGGAAGTTCCTGCACAAAAACGTCCTGTGTTCAGGGGCTTGTTTTTCACACCTCCGAGTGAGAAAGTTTCAGTGCAGTATATTTCCAGAGTAGACAAAAATGAGGAGATTAGTTAAACAGAAATTAAAAAGTACAGTGACAAAAGTAAAATCTCCGCAAGCTGCATGGAAGCTTTTCAAAGACACCATAATAGAGGGCCAACTTAAATGGATAAACCAAATTAAAAAACACAGGAAGAGAACAAAAAAGTGACACTATGGCTTAACAACCAGGTAAAAGAAGCAGTGACAGATAAAAAGACATCTGTTAAAAAGTGGAAGTCAAATCCTAGAGAGGAAAATAGAAAGGAGTATAAACTTTGTCAAATTAAGTGTAAAACTATAATAAGAAAAGCCAAAAGGAGTTTGAAGAACAGCTAGCCAAACACTCAAAAGTAATAGCAAACTGTTTTTAAGTACATCAGAAAGGGAAGGTCCCTGAGTCCTGGCTGGGGCGCTAATGACAAGAACTGCCCGGCTGGACACATCATGACCTTTCATTCGCTAGCTTACCTGGCACTTTGCATGCAACAGACAGTAATTACGTTGGGGGGGGGGATCAGGGCGCTGGTGTGAGTACAGAGTGCCACACGCTGCTGTCATAGTTCCCCTCTCTATGTCACCCCCACAAATCCCCCACTTTGTTACAGCGCCAGCCTGTTGCTGCATTTCCCTTTGGAACAGGAACTTACAGGCCATGGCGAAGGCCGTTGGGTGATGCAGCAACGGATCCCTTCTCCAGTTGCCAAACGGCTGCCCTGGGAGGCGGCTCCTTGCTGGGGTAAGAGAGCAGCTGTGAGGTGCCCGTGGCCCTCCCGCCCTGACAGCCAGAGGAGCCGGGCGCGGCCCGCCCAGGGTCTCCCAACAGCCCAGCTGTGA